AAGCCATTTCTCTCTCCCTTTTGTTTGTTTGTTTATTTATTTTTAAATTCGGCTTTTTAGGGGGGCGAGGCGGCCCGGGCACACCCGTGTGAAGGGTTTGTGGGGGGCTGTGGTGTCCATACCACGATGCACAGGTGGCTGGACAGACAGTTCAGCTTTCCTTCACTATTTGCACTTTGAAATGATGGAGTTAAAAAAAGAAAAACACAGGGAGTTGAGGAATAACAAGTTTTGGTGGGAGGACTGCTTCGGCTTTTTAGGGGGGCGAGGCGGCCCGGGCACACCCGTGTGAAGGGTTTGTGGGGGGCTGTGGTGTCCATACCACGATGCACAGGTGGCTGGACAGACAGTTCAGCTTTCCTTCACTATTTGCACTTTGAAATGATGGAGTTAAAAAAAGAAAAACACAGGGAGTTGAGGAATAACAAGTTTTGGTGGGAGGACTGCTCTTCCCCTATCTGGCTGACTAACCACCTATTTATGAAAAGGGCATGTGAATGCATCATCTGATACAGCAAAATTCCCTTCCCTGTTAGTGTTGGCAGCCATTAAATTCTGACAAAAAAAAAAAAAAATCAGTTATTTCCATAAGTCTTTTAATCGGAATCTGCCCAGTAACCCTCAGAGAGAGCCAAAGGTTTTCATGCTAGGTGAAGGCAGGAGAGGTGCTAGCGCAGATAAAGCAGCGCAGGTCACCTGGGTACTTCCCTTTCTGTCCTCCTAATGCAAAAGGAGTCAGAGAGGCTGTGGATCACGCTGCAAGACAAAAGGCAACCTGTAAACCAGAGGATTTCCAGGAAAGACAGGCACGCTACAATGAGGACTTGATTTTCTCCCACCCTGCACTACCTTTTTGCATCTTTCCCAAGCTGCGTTTTGTGACTCAGCTCTTAATCCCCTTTATTTAAGTGTCTGACAGCAAGATGCAGAGTGTGCAGATAGATGGGTGTGTTAGACAAAGGACGAGCAGAGGAATAATCAGAAGACGGGTTTGACACGGAACGCGAGACCCATAAAGGCACACGGCTCAAACTCGATCACAATAAAAGGACCAAGGTAGCTGCAATCAATACAGAGAAAAATGTACAAAAGCATGACATCTCACTGCAGACTTCTGTGATTTTTGTATGCCCTTCCCAATCTTGGCCTTCTATTTCAGTGATTTTCTTCTATGGGATCACACTACGTGGGCCACAAGATCAGAGCACTTTCTAGGTGGGCTTTAAAATTAAAACTGGTTCAAAGGTTTGTAAATTTTTTGTTTTTTTTTTTTTTTTTTAGGGAAATACCACAAGTTGATATTCTTGTGATTTGTTTTCTTTGAACCAGTTCTACTGAAAACACATCTTGCTGTCCTTGTAGCCTGAGTGCAGTTCAGGCTTTGTTCAATGATAAGTTCTTCTGAGAAACCAGCCAAGAAGAGACAATTTGTGTGCTCTCCGGACACCTGTCTATTTAAGGAATCAAAATGAACTCATTTGAAGGGTCACAGCTTCGTGCCTGTGAAACGATCTCTTTAGAAGAGTCTGGAATAGGCAAGTCAAGACTAAACTGGGCACAGGTCAATTTTTCCATGTTCGTTGCTGCTATGGGGAAGAAACCACCCTGTTAATACGAAATCTTCTCTATTAAGCTGTTTTTAAATTACAGAATGGAAAAGATTTTATTTAACTCCTGTGGTCGTGATGTAAGTTCCTGGCAGGGAAGCTGGTATATTTGTAGCTCAGCAAGGCCTGGAGCTGAGAGAGCTAATGATTGCCTCAATTTCTGGTAAAGTGCAGTTCTAAGGGCATTTTCAGCCTTCACTTCTTCCTCCCCTCCCTTTTAAGAGATCTCAAAAACAAGCCTTTAATTTTCAGCAAGATCTTTTCTTGTGACCTTTAGAACATATCAAGGGTTATCTTAAGAGTAAAGTGACACTAGTTACAGGGCTCTTGAACTGAATTTTGCGGGCATATCCTCACAGGAGTATCACTCCACCGAGGCACCTGTAATAGAGAAGATGTCACCATTGTCCCACAGATGTCTATCCACAAGTATCCCCAGTATTTTCGAATAATTGTAACAGCTCATGACAACTGTGAGTGAACAGCCATCTTCACTTCTATACTATGGCAAGGACTATTTTTAGGTCAAAGACCAGGAAACATCTGAAGATCAAAACTAAATAGCTTATGATACATATTCTTCTATGCTTCTCTTTTGCTACAGAAAAAAAAAAAAAAGTGTTTTGATTTCTGCAGTCTCAGATGTCAGGAGATAATGCTCCTTGACAAATGAGCTGCCAGCGTGATGCTTCTGTAGAAGATCTGACAGGGACTGTTGCAGGGGTACAGAAAGGCCGTACCACAGCGTGTCTTTTTCATCACTAAAATATTTAATCAGTACTTGAAGACCAAGTTTTAGAGCTGCTTCCTAAGCAGAAGTAATTGCTAGTCCTACCTCTTGGGAAACAATAGTAACGTATTCTTTAAATAAAACTTGGAAATCCTACCAAGCTAAGAACTCCTCACCGGGATTTGAAAGACTGAGATGTGCTTGGAAATCTCAGTGAAGCGCAACAGCTGAACTTCCAGTACATTGTAAAACATACCAAAAGCACTGAGCTCACACAAAATGAACTGGCTGCTTTTCATACACTGCATTTCAGATACACTAAATATTACCAAAACTGCTCCTCAGCAGTAAAGAGCTTTAGATTGGTAGTGGATTTTCCTCCTTAATAGCTGTAATTCCAGGAGGTTTGTTTTGCGACATCATTCCTGCCTCCTGACCTCTACTCTTTCTCTTTGTTGGAGAAAGCTTTTTGCTATTTGGGCCCTAAAAATGCTTTTGAAGTCTCCTGTGTTTTCTAAAGTGCTACAATGTAGAAGTGCTACAGCAGAATGGGTAGACTACACAGGGAGTATCTCTGCCACAGGAAGGTATTTCACAACGCTGAGGAAGACAAGCGGAATGCAACTTGTAAACTCCAGTGTCAAAACACAAAGTTGTTATTCCAGGTTTTTGCTCGTGTTTGTTTATGCACTTTTAATTCTATATCTCTTTCCAGCTGAGGATCTTAGAGTTTTGTAAATATTGATGAATTAAGCCTCAGCTTAGGAAATGGGAAAGTACAGTAATTCCCATTCTACAGAAGAGAAACTGAAATGTATTAGAAAACTGAGATCTCAAATTTGTTATACAGACAGTCACTGTAAAATGAAAGCAAAATAAATCTTCATTGTATTTTTTACTCAAACACTAGTTCTTCAACATTAAACTCTTCTGATCTCACAGTATACTGGACAATTACACTCCTACAAGACAACAGTAGGAGCGTGGGGGAAAAGGTCTGCTGAGCAAACTGAGAACAAGGTAATCCTTAGAGAGGGATCCAGAAAAACAGAGAGGTAGATGAACAGCTCAAACTCCACCAGCCAAGGAATCTTCTAGCTGGCCATGACCTGTTTGAGATATCTACCTCTGCAATAAACATTGCGACATTCAACTATTGAAGGAGTCTCTAATTAAGTAAGTACACGGTGCAAGAAAATTAAGAGATTTCCTGACTTAAATTAAGCATAGTTAATGTTTACTCAAAAAAAAAACCCCAAAAGTTGATCCATCTTTTCTGTGAATAAATATTTATTTTCTCCTTTACATGAAAAAAGCAATGCTCCATGCATACTTCATTCTCTAG